AGACAGAGTTGAGTGGAGGTCCATGATCGCCCACGCCAGTCGGCAAGGCACCGGATGATGATAATGATGATGATGGGCGTTAATCCCAGAAAAGAACCTCTTGTGTACAGAAGGCTATACCAACTTTGTACGCAGCCAAATTTGTCATCCAGTTTTTCAGCATCACAAATTTCTCCATAACTCCGCTCCTATAATTTAACTTTTTGGCATGACATAAACCAGACACTCCCAGTGTTTGTCATAGAGGCTTCTAATTAAAGTAAGATTCGCGTTCATGCGTTGAATATCTAAGAACATTGAGTGGGCGCTCACTCCCAGATATTGACTCAAAGTATACAGAAAGCTATTCCACCTTTGTATGATTCTACGCAGCCTGCTTTGTCGTCCAGGTCCTCAGCATAAGAAAGTTCCCTATAACTATAACTCCCTCTATTTACCCTATTTGCATGAAATAAACACGAAACCAGAGAGAAGTGAATTCTTTGTTTGTTTGTTTGAGTAAAGATGAGCGCTTGGACACAATAACGATCATTTATCATTTAGTGCTGGGAAAAAGTACAGACAGACAGACAGACAGACAGACAGACAGACAGACAGACAGATAGACAGACAGACAGACAGACAGACAGACAGACAGACAGACAGACAGACAGACAGACGGACAGACAGACAGAAACAACAAATGGAAAGTAAAGAAGCAGGACCTGCCAGTGGTGCTCTTCACCCACTCGCGAGAATTGAAAGTTACCAGCGATAAACATACACACAGTTTGATTGCAAACAAGATGGATTTGATGGGATTTGTAGATTTATATACTCTGTCACATTTCTAAGTATACACTGTGTTAAAATGGAAATCGCTAGTTTCACAAGGAGTCGATATTCTTTAAAATTTCAGGAATACGAATTCAATCAATTTTAAATACGAAAAAAGCAACAACAATACGGAATGTTAACATAACAGGTTTATTCACGACTTACAAGAGTGTGGGGGTGGTCTACCAAAGTAACACGATCAGTAGCGTTGACGACGGCCCAACATCGTTGCCGCCTTGAATCAATCAATCGCTGCACTGCCTGTTGAGGGATGTTATTCCACTCTTCATGCGATGCTCTCTCAAGTTGAGGAAGTGTCTGAGGCTTGGGTTGTCGCATGTTGTTCATCTCATCTCTGTTTAGTCTTGCCGTTTTGAAACGATTGCGTAGATGTGACAGGCGTATAAAAAGATCCTCTCTTTGAGTAGTTTTTCTTCTCCCACGTTAGCGGTGTCTATCGTTTCCTGATTTTGTTGTCTTCTCGTTATCCATTGTTGTGTACACAGTTCTTTGTGTTACACTAAAATGTCCTGCAACAATAGATACTAAGGCACACCCGCGGATCATTCCGACAAGCTGATTTCCCACATTTTCTCGTGGGCCGTCACATCTTGAAGCGTAGACAAAACAAGTTTTATCACTGGCGAATTGTTACAAAAATAACAAAGCTTTGATGTGTGCTTTTTTTAAAAACAAATCATTGCCGTATCATGAAGGATTCTAAAAAAACATGAAACCTGTAACACGCATGCAGATACAAAACCTCTGGCGCGTTTAGAAATCTGAAAACAGGTCACCAGCGACAGGTATAACACCTAATCAGTGTGTACATTTGAAAGTAATTGGTGTCGCAGATTTTGTTTTATTGAGCTTCAAAATGTGTATACTTAAAAATGTGACAGAGTATATTTGGCTGCCGGACTCGTAAGCGTAAGGTTTAAATTCGGGAATTCGAGTTCTAGCCTCAGGTCCGTTGTTGTGTCCTTGGGAAAGGCACTTTACACGAATTTCTCTCACTTCACCAAGGTGGGATTGGGTACCCACCCTTAGACAGAGAAATATCGTGTCAGTATGTTAGTGTTTGAGCGCTTATAAAATGTCAGTTTGTACTAGAGTGTAAGCTTTCCAGGAAGTTGGGATAGTTTCAAAATGCTGTCATGTCTGCTGGGGTAATGATAATATAGGTTGTAAAGCGAATAAGCCTGCTGTTGAGCTGGCATTTGTGCTATCCAAAATTAATTAATTCAACCCTCTTTGTCGTTTATTATTACTGTCAACAACCGAGTAATGTCTTGTGCTTACTGAACTGGCATGTCGTACTTTTTCTTTTTCAGATGTAGGGACTGGAGCAGATATTGACCATCATGGTACTCCGTTCCTTCGTGTTGTCTGTACGTCTTGATCAGCTCGGGTTTTCCCCCTTGCGATGCTCGTTGCAAAGTAGCTCAGGCTATCTGTGTATGTTGTTCTTTAACTTCTGCTTTTCTTTCCATCTATCTGTCCACACAGCGGCAGTTTCTCCAGACAATTTGATCTGTTTATGTGGCGCTCCGTTCATCAAGGGTTAAACATCGATTACAACACAGTACACAATGGTAATTGATTAGCAATTCGATTGGCTGAGGAAAATCGCTTTGTCATGTAGTCTGGCGGTAAACATAATTGTTTATTGAGTCAATAAAAGTCGCCTTCCCCCACCCTACTTCTAACTCCCTTCTTAATTATAATCTATTGTAAAGTGCCTTCTCTTCGTCGTTCTTCTACTCTGCTTCCTCCTCCATTTCCTCCTCTTTCTCCTCTTTCATCATCATCATCATCATCATCATCATCATCATCATCATCATCATCATCATC